GTAGCGCAGTCAGTCATAGGTACGTGGCAATAGTTCGTAGCTCCAGCAAAATTATGTTTCACTGCATCTGAAAAGAAAGAAGTTGTTGTAAAGCAGTGCAAATTCCAAACGTACGAAACGATTTCTGCAAAACTAAAGAGATGGCAATAAAGTCTGTGGCTTAAAAAATTTTTAATTAGTTAATAACCATTTGGACTAAAATGTTGACATTGTGTAGTGCCGCAAAATGTGTTCTCTCAAGTGGGAGTACACAAAATACAACCCCTTTCGCCTACTAAAAATACATAAAGTAATTAATTAAAATTACTAACTGAACAGAATTTAATTCCACTATAAACACAGAGATATCTACTTTTACTCACTTTAATCAATAATAAAAATATAGATGGCTATAATTTATTTCATTGTCTAGCCGGGAATTGAGGCGCTAACGTTTCATCTAAAGCATTGTTGTAAATATGATAGTATAAGCACATCAGTTTCAAAACTAGTAGCATGTTTTTATGATTTATCAAAACTGTTGCACTTGCCCCGTTGTTTTTCTTCTTGTTCTTTATCGGTAGTAATGTTTAACAGGATGATCTGAAAACTATAAACATGTTTTAGTTTGCATAATTTATAGAAACAATCAAACGCGAATTAACAACTTTGATGAATAAAATAAAATAATTATTATATTTACCTGTAAGTATTTAATCGACAGAAATGTGGATAATTCGGTATACACTTGACTTAACTCTCTAAAAAATTGTACTAATGCTAATAGTTTTTCAAGTTTCAACATCTTTGTAAAGCACCCCACTTCAGTACAGAAGTTCCCGTTAATCCTTTCCAGACCCAGAGCATTCTTGTTATTCCTTACCTGTTTACTATGCAGATGCAACTTATTGCATTTATTCTTTGAATAACTCATTCGAAGTACCTATGTAATAAGTTAATTTCAATCTCTTTTATATTTGTGAAGTTTTGAGTTTAAAATAAAGAGATTATTAATAACCAAAAAGCGAATCAAAAATTACATGTCACCCTCTCTTTATAAATACCAATATGCCTACCAAGTTGCGCTATCACGAGCGAATCGTACTCGTGAATAAGCAATCGAGTCGTATGAATTACCTACATTATTTGTTAATTTGTTATCATATGTATATCCTTCCTCTATTTTAATATTTCATCAAGTTTAAGGGAAAAAATACGCGTTCGATTTCTTTGGAGCACGGTTGTTACTTGTTACCTCGATTGTTGTTCTGATTTTATCAGAAAATAATTACAAAAGTGTACGGAAACAATTTTACGAAAAATACGCCGCACATTGCCAACATTAAATAAGCAATCCCATACTTTCTTAATTATTTCGAAAATTTAGTAACATAATTCTGAGGAGTTCGAGGATTCGAAACATTGCTGCAAGTTTGATACGAAATTTATGGGGTTCACTAATTACGTAAAAATTGCAAAAGAATCAATATACAATTGTTGTGAAACGTACCTTTAGCAAATGTACACCGAAGAAGAAACGAAAGCGAAGTTTCTGAATTGTTTTGCAACTTTCATGATGCAGTTGTTGCGCTTTCCAAGTGTTGGAACATATAAGAAAGTAAACATTTTAAGTAAGAATTTCTATAGGTAATGTTGCACATATATGTGCGGATACTGTTTTGCAGACAGAGATTCGCAATTGCTATGTCGTGTTGCAAAACGTGTTCGCTGGGAGGATTGTTTGCCCATATATTTGAACTACGTTACTTGGCAACCTAAAGCTTGGCGTGCTTTAATCGCCTTGTGTTGCATGCTCAAGTGTGTTTTAAACAGCAATTCTGATACAAAAAGCGCATTTCCAATTGTATTCATTTCCCATTTGTAAGATGCAACTTCTGTTAAAATCGTAAAAATATGGCCACAAATATGAAAGATAGCGTTGCAAATGTGCAATCCATGTTTGACGTGCTACTTTAATTTCTGTTTATAAGAAAAATTTCATTTCAATGCTTTTCTAAATAAGAAAGTTGGAACTGCGCATGCGCAAATTTAAATTTGGAAACTAACATTAGATTTTCCTTTGTTCAAAGCGCCTATGCATCAAATTTAATTTAAATGCTTCCATAGATAAAAACTGCGTAAAACCAAATTTTGAAACTGGCGTTTGATTTTCCTTTATTCCAAGTGCCTATGTATCACATTTCATTCAAATACTTTTATAAATAAAAAAGTTTGCAATTCGGTTTATAAATGGTCGAGATGCGAAAAGGGCACTGTGAATTTTGAATCGATTCGACTCGGCTTATATGGCTAAAGGTATGCCCATATTGAATTTCATGCAATTCAGTTCATAACTAATGGAGATCTAAAAGCGATCGGACATTTCTAAACAAACTTATCGTTCACACGAACAGATAGAGGGATAGACAAAGGAACAGGGGGACGGACCAACAGACAGACGACAGACAGCAATACAAAATTATAAACGATCTCTATAGGATTGTTAATAAACGGCAGAAATGTAAAATTATGGAACATGTAAAAACCGGTTTTTTGTTTTTTTTCCAATAACTTTTTTAGCAATAAACGCAGAAAAAATTCCTTCCTTGGTGCAAGCCTCGACACCATAACGAACCAAATAGCGAAAAAAGTAGAACAATAGCTCTTGAGATAAAGAACTAGTAGCGTCTCAACGAACGAGCGGATGGACGGACGGACGGAGAAAGTGGCCTCAATAGCGCATTTTTTTAAATTTTTGTGGAAATGCGCTAATAATAGATTTGTGGCAGACAATTACTCTCCTTTTTTAGCGCATTTCCACAAAAATTAAAAAAATGCGCTATTGTGGCCACTTTGTCCGTTCGTCCTTCCGGCTGTCCGTCACGTACAAAGTCGTCGTTCTACATCCGTTTGTAGATTTAATCTATATGAGCATGTTCCAAAAGAAGAAGAAACGTTATAGAAATAGAAGGTATTTTATATTAAGCTAGCACAGGGTGTGTTCAGAAGATGGTTTCTTAATAGTATTTTTGAACTGATTGAATTAAATATCATGTTTAATGGTCTAATAAACATTATTATTATCAAAAGCGTGTTACACATACATTTTTTTAATAATCACATTTTTGAGACCCAAGCCTTTGTCCTCAACGTCAGTAAGAAGCATGCAGTAAAATAGCAATAAAGAAAATGATTCGGCGCAGGCCTACTTTTCGAGATGAACGTCAACTAGAAGTACTTATGTTTAAAATTCAGGATAATAACTTTACAAGAAACTTTATACGAACTTTTCGACACCTTTAAGTTTATGTTCTGTTGGTTATCGTGCGTACAGATAGGCAACCACACGATTTCAAGAAGGACCTTAATATAGATTTTCGACATGGCCTACATTAGTGCTGTATGGTTAAATTTTCATGAAATGAAAGCGTCTATTGAGCGGTACAGTACAGTGCATATTGGCGCATGTTGTCTTTATTAGAAGCATGTTTGAAATATCTTAATGGAAAATGGTCGCTATATACAGGCTGCTTCACGCAAACCGTTAGCTAAAAGTGTTCAGATGATAATTTAAATCTGAAAATCGGCATAACAACATAGTTTTTCATGAAAGAAAGTATCACGATTTTTCCTGAAATGGTCGCCTTAGCCATAGATGCTTACCTAAAAAGCAAGTGCGGCGTGATGATCAAAAATAAATGTGAGCAGGCTGTTTCACGCAAAATACCTATGAACATTTGCATAGCAACATTGATTTTCATGATCTATCGAAAAAAATATCATGACTTTTTCACTTCCGATTTTATGTGGATAGCGACTTTCTTATTCGAAATCGGCGTCGTTTAATACCAGCATCAAAGATTCAAGTTATTCAAGATTTTTCAAAATTGTTGACGTTTGACTGCTTTTTTCTAAGGTCCTGTACCTATGACTCCGTTGACTTGAATTTAAAAAGTCTTCCAAAATCAACAATACTGGCTTAATGCTACCTCTGAGAATGCTTTAAATGTTATCGCCCTTCTACAGGGTGTTTGGTCAATTTTAATAACTTCGTATCTTAAAAAATTTATTTTTTCAAATACTTTATTTTTTGCACTTTCAAATGTCAAAAAAATTCTACATCGGTCAATTATTACATTCGCTATACCTATCTGTTATGGCTTTCCGTTTTGATGTGTGGGGTCGTATAAAAAACAAAGTCCCCGCCAGTTGCTTCTCGTGAAGAACTGGAAGTTAAGGGTGAAAAGAGCTTTTCATGAAATGGATGCAGTAGGAATTCAAGAGGTGACTATAACAGAGTTCATCCAAGGGTCCTATGTAATATTAAATTGTTAAATTTCAATCAGCACTGCGTTTAAATAAGGTAAATTATATTTCATAAAATGTCAAACAATTATTGTAATGAAGCTTGACACACAGCTATCTAGATACGGACATGTTTCAATTTTAAATGTCATGATTAGGATTATAGCAGCAATTGTTTTTTACTTTCCTCACTAGAGAGGAAAAGCACATTTTGTTCACCCTTTTTACAGACGAAACTAATTGTTTCTAAAGTAATTTCAGAAAAAAAACAGTTTCAATATTAAAAATGCAAATAAATAATAAAAGTGAAAAGATTTTATATCTTTAAGGCTTAGAATAGCGCAAACACTTTCAAAATACCACCCATAAACATTCGTCCAGTCCCCTAAAATTGTATTCCTTCTACTGGCAGGGGAAACATTTGCTTTAGGCGACTACACAGATACATATAATAGAGAATGTGTTATACTAACGTTCATTGGCGTTATTGACACAAGTGCATCTAGTTATAGTATAATAATTGAACAGGTACATATTTGTATAAGAAAGCAAAGAAGTCGCGAATCAGATTCATTGCAGAAACCATTGTTAAAAGGAATGACGAAACTCGCATTACGAATAATACCATAGAACTACACAATTAAATTTTTTGTTCTGCACAAACTTCTTCGTTAATTTCTGTTTCTAAAAACAAATATTTCAGAATTTTCTTAAAGTTCTAGGGCCCGCCTAAGGACGCAAACATGAGCGTCATAATAAGACTTCAAAATCTTCCTTGGTCTGCGAACGCCCTTGACATTCGACAATTCTTCAGTGGGCTGAGTATACCAGAAGGTGGAGTTCACATCGTTGGCGGTGAGCAAGGGGACGCCTTCATAGCTTTCAGGTACCTAAGTTCATTTTGTCTCAGTTCCGCATACGCTTACAATTTCATTTGCATTATCTTACTAAAGCGGCCATTTTTTAATTTAGCACCGATGAAGATGCCAGACAAGCATTTAATCTTAACGGTGGCAGAATCAAGGAGATACAAATTAAGCTTATGCTTAGTTCGCGCACAGAAATGCAGAAGATTATCGAGGCCGCGCGTAATCCATTAGCAGCGTTTATGCATCAAAACGCTACAGCTCAATCCATGCAAGCAATTTTACCTGCCGTCATTCCTCCACTTATGCCCGAAGTAGGAAGGAAGGACGACCCGAAAGATAAGGGAAAGCGTGACCGTCGCCGTTCTCGCTCGAGATCGCGCGACCGTAAAGATCGATCGCGCGAAAGGGACCGTCGCGATCGAAGACGCCGCGATCGCAGCAGATCAAGATCTCGCGAACGTAGAGAACGGCGAAGAAAGGAAAGAAGTACCAGCAGGGAACGGCGTCCGTCAAAGGATCGCGATCGTCGCAGTAAGGATCGAAGACGTTCCGAGGAGAAGTCCGGGTTTTCCTCTAATTCAAATTCTGACAAGGAACCTAACGCAAAAATGTGGGAGGAGCCGCCCACAGTCAACATTCTCCATCAACAGCAACAAACCCTTCTTAATCCCTTCTTGGCAAACAACCTCGAAGAAAATCGTCGCAATTTAAACGCCTTAGCGTCCAGCTCTCTCCTACTGCAGGGAAATAGAAATGGTTTCCAAAACCGAAATGATACCTTTGGTGGAAATCGCAATCAAGACAATTGGAACTCTATGGGACAATCTATGCATCCAATGGGCAATAGACCAAATTTCCATGGCCATGTGGATCGACTCAACGAACCTTTTCAGTCAGTCAATCGACCTATGCAGAATCAGTTTGGAGATAATCAAGGGGTAGGTTTTAATCGCCTCCCGTCTCGTCGCCCTGAGAATCGTGCGAGTCGCTTTGACAGCGGACTATCTCCCATGCTTTCGGATCGTCCTAGTTTGCTTGATCTTCCACGTCCCGACTACAACAAAAACTGCTGCGTTTCATTAAGACCTTACTATGGAGGCTATGGAGAAATACGTCGTTTTTTCCACGGTATCTTCATACACAATACCGGCATAAAGTTTGTTAATGACGAAAATGGAAAACGTACCGGTATTATTCATATACAGTTTGCCCAACCCGATGGGAAAATAGAGGCTTTGCAACGAAATGGACTGATTTTGAAGAATAATCGAATGGAGATTGCTCACTTAGATGACAGTATTTTTGAGTCTACTGTGGATCGATACCGACCAGAATTTAAATCGGACTCTAATGACAGACGATCATCTCCCGATCAGTATCGGGCAAAAAGCAGTCCAATTATGTTCAAAAGTTCAGTACCATCTAATTTTAGTTGTATTGCAGTTGAAGATCTACCATTGTTTACCAAAGAGCAAGATATGCTAAAAATCTTTTCGGATTACTCGATGCTATCGTGTTGGCTGGTCAATCAGCAGAGACATGTTGTCGCATTTATCAAATTTGCCAACGCAGACGATGCAAAAAAGGCGATCACTGAAAAAGGTAAATACACATTTGATGGAAAACCTCTAGATATACGGCCGTGCTCGGATGAAGAATATGCTTCCGTTAGTCAGGATGAAGTTCAAGTGATCGACGACGATGATGAGGACAAAGATATTGAAATCGATAAAGTGTATATGAGATCTGACTGTGTTTCGTTAACCGGCTTACCTTTAAAAACTAGTGATCGTGACATCAGCGACTTTTTCTCAGATGTCGCCATTGTTCCTACTAACATTCATCTGGTCAATTCAAGCGTTGGTTTCACAGGTGAAGCGTTTTGTGAATTCGCCTCTGCAGCTGATGCAGAAATTGCTTTAGAAAAGAATGGCTTACCGTTAGGGTCAGGAACGGTAGCTGTGGATTCTGTGTTACGTGCCGACATGGAGGATACCTTGAGGGGAACTAGTGGACTAAATCTTAATTGTAATGGACCTCGGCCTATGTTCAATAGAGGATTTGGAGGGAACTTTGGACCAAGAGGACCGAACTCTATGGGACCCCGCCCACCAATGAGACGCCCTCTACCAACTCCAGTCAATCCCTCAAATATGGGATCCAAAGGTTGTACACTACTGATGGAAAATGTTCCTTATAAAGCGGGATTGAATGAGATATTAGAATTTTTCGATGGTTTCAATGTACCCCCCGATAATGTTCTAAGACGGTATAACGAGAATGGGACACCGTCAGGTGAAGCGAAAGTTATATTTACTAATCCACAGGACGCTTTTCAAGCACTTCAAGAAAGGCATCACAAAAAAATTCGAGATCGTCCCATATATCTCAGTCAGTGCTAATTAGTACCTATTGTTGTTCTGTACAGACTGTAATTGAAAAATAAGTGCAGAGGCTCCTATTAATTAATAAACGCAATAAGTTCATATTTATTTGATAATTTGTATCTATTCCTCACCAACATTTAACATATCTTTTGCCATGTTTAGATTGTAAAATATTTGTGAACTTAGTTTGTAATTTTATTTTTTTATTTTTGAGTCGCACTTCTTAAGTGTTGTATAATTACGGTTACGTTTTAGTGATACGAGAAAAACAAAATATTTATAAACATATACCTAATCTTTATCTCTTATATATAAATGTAGGTAATTTGTAGGTAGTGCATCTTTTTAAGTTTTTGTATAATAAACATGAAAATACATTAGAGGTTCAGCTTCTACCTGCAAAAACAACTCGCCCGTCACTGGTCGCACATGGAAATCAGAGGCGGACTGGGTACTTACGGGCCAGGTGGAATTGCATAGGGGGGGGGGGGGGGGTAGCTCTGAGGTGCACCACAAAAACATTTTAAAGTACTCCTTTCTCGAAAATCAATTACCATACAGTTTTTTTTTTTAATTGCAGCTGATAATTAAAA